ACTATTTTGAAGAAAAAAAATTTAATTAGGATTTTCTTCAAGGAGTATAGTGTAACACAACAGACTTTTCACAAAGGAATTCGTAAGTGAATATAACGAACCCAACAGGAATTGGAACTCGGCTTACCTATTAAAAATTGAGAGCCATTATTTATTATACCACCTGTACATCCAAGCATACAGCACCTAGTATTCCGAAGCGGTCACTCATCTGGGTAGTGACCAGGCTCGTTGTTGTTTAACCTCGGTCATCGTACGAGAACCAATGTTTCAACGTGATGTGCAGGTAAGCTCATTATACTACCCCTACATCCACGCATACAGCACCTGGTATTCCGAAGCGGTCACCCACCTGGGGAGTGACCAGGCTAATAGAGTATTTATGTTAATGCTTGTTTTTTTTTATTTCCTAAGGACACTTATTAGAGATGGAATTTTTTTATTTTTGAAGATTATCTATATCCTAATTATGAATATCTTTGTCGTCACCGTAATACATCACCAGTTCAGTGGCCTCGGGAGGGAAACACGATCGTTGTCTTTTATCAGTGGATTGGCTTGTGGGTTGGTATGGAATGGTTAAAAGATCAGTACTCATTTTAAAGATCTCTGGAAAGGAATAAATCTACTACAAATAATGTTAAACTCGTAACAGTAGAAAAGCTAACAGAATCAATGGCTGAAAGCCTAATGGAATTTATAGAATATCTGGGAGCCCATATAAAGATGTAAATAAGAAATTAATTAATTCATTCATATAGGATCGTGTGCTAATGAAATGTTTTGTGTATATCTTTAGGTTTTATTTATGAATAGAAATTTATATTTTTCTTTCCATATTATACCTGAAACCCTCAAATAAATTATTGTAAATACTTGTAGGAAAGACACAATTTATAAACAGAAAGTTACATGTTATATTTATCAGATAGAAATAACTATATCCTGTGTATTTTAGCCAGATATCATTGGATATTAGATAGATATCATTCATTATTTTAATAATCTTGTTTAACACCAGTATTAATGTAAGCCCATGAAAACTACCCGGACAGACACGCTTACACCACATGGGATTTCCAAGCTGTGATCCATCTAGGCACTGATCAGGTTCGGATTCACTAGAGATTTTAGGCAATATTATTCTTTTTTTCACCCCAAGCAAGGTGGGAAGCCACTAGGACGCAAGAGGTTACAGAAAATTTGGAGCAAGATCAGATAGGAGTGATAGAAGAAAGGATGAGGATAAGGGTAGTGGATAGATCAAGGCAACTGGAGATTTCGATTGACATTACATTTGAGTAGCTGGAGATTATAGCTCTCAGGGAAACTGGAATAGGGAAGGGAGTTCCACAGGCGAGATGTGCGAGACATGAAGCTATTGGAGTAGAAGAGACGGCTACATTTAAGAGGTTCGACAGTGAAAGGGTGAGAGCAGGATGCCAGCCTCGTGGGGCGCTTGAACTCATGAAGTCTGGGAACCAGCGAATGCAGCTCCTCGGAGCAATTGCCATGAAAGTATTTGTAAAACAGACAGAGAGAGGCGACGGTGCGTCTGTGAGAAAGTGACTGTAGACGAGATGCCGGATCAGGGCCAATTATATTGCATATCTACCTCTGGAGCCTATCAAGAACCCCGAGGCAAACAGAAGGGGCTCCAGACCATATATGGCAGAAATACTCCATGCAAGGACGAATTGTTGATTTGTAGATCTGGAGGATCGATTCCGGGGAGAAAAATTAAATTCTGCAGAATAAACTTTGACTTACTGTAGAAATTGGAACTTTTTTTTTTCTTGAATCATACTGTAGTTTCTTTTACAACTTTAACCCAAACTGAATAAAAATATGCCTCGACTTCATCTCACCAGACATAAACGTTTAACCTTTATTTAGTTAAACCGCAGCTGGATGTGTTAAGAGAGAAAGTAAATTCAATACAAAACTGTAGATGACGTCTTTGATCACCAAAGTGTTCCTGCAGTTCGCATGACGAAATTCTTATATAAGTAAAGAATCAACGTAAAAAAAAAAAAAAAAAAAAGCGGAAAATGATCAGAAGAAAAAGTTTGTGACTTAGCCGATTGAAGTTACCTTCAGCATCCCGTTTCTAAAGTTTCATAGGCGGACCTATACATACATTCTTCAGGGGGTATCAGCATTTTACTGTTTATATTTTACGATTTTTCCTTTTATATGCACATATCATTGGTGGAATTTTTTTCCCGTATTGTTTGTGTTCGTGTGTGCATTTGCGCGCGTGCGTCCTTGCGCCCGCCTCTGTGGATGTGCGTTCGCGTTCGTGCGCCCGTCTTCGCGGATGTGCATGCGTGTAGTGTGTCATGGTCATCTGTCCTTTTCTTCCTTTTTTGGTGGGGGGACTTTACACTCGCTCCATAGCTCTGTCTCTTTTTTTTCTATTTTCCTCTTTTCTTTCAATATATATATATATATATATATATATATATATATATATAAAAAGCAATTTTTAAGGAATTAAAGGGTTTTCTTTTGTTAATTCGACATATTTTATTCCTTCAAACCTTATTTTTAATGTTTAAATATTTGTGTAAACAGTTAGTTCGTTAACATCAAGAAGTCATCTTCTTGACAAATCGACTACGGTGAGATTTGAACTCGGGTCTTATCGCCGGAGAACGAACGCTCTAGCCTAACCTTTTATTTTATATATATATATATATATATATATATATATAAAATAATATATATATATGCAGCAATCATCAGGCGATCAGTAGCTGTAGTTCGTAAAACAGGAAACCTTTTACCACCAGGCGGGTCCAAGGTGGTGACACAACTAAACATACCAGGGATGGGGGGGGGATGGTGACATATCCTGCCAAGATCGAAATAGGCAAAAAACAAAAAAAAATATCAACCAGAAAAGGTTTGCCGGAGTGGTACAATGTGCTCAATGCCGTAGGTAACAACAATACAACGGTAAAGGGGCTTAGAGTTTCAAACAAAAAAGTGTTTTACAATACCGGGTCAGTAAAGTCACGCACGTCAGAGCATTTATATGAAACAGGAAATCGTGGTCGGTGATTATCATTTAGAATTTGACTTAAACTATATTAAAGTTTTTATGGCATTGAGCAATCTTTATTCAAGTGTGCAATCTTAGGCAGACATCCTTATCTCTAATTATATATATATATATATATATATATATATATATATATTTATATATATATATGTAGGGTATATCCTGACCCCAGAATTTTGTAGGAGGACCTGTCCATCTACTCCTCAGTGGGTAGCAGCAATTTACTATATATATAACCTCTAAAATAACCGTTAGAACTAATAAAAATAAACATAAATAAGTATAATAAACGACCTAAGCACCCCCCAATTTTTTGCCACGTTAATAAAACATAGAAAAGAATGGATAAATATATAAAATAAATATGAAAATAAAAAAGTAAAATAAATTAGCACAGATAAATAAATAAACAAGCCACTCCCGCTAAAATAACCGCCAGAATGGATTACCCACAATGCCCCACTGACCCATATATATAAATAGTTGAGAAAAAATCCAACACTCGCGGCCTGACGATTGCGTCTAGCATGAAACAGCCTGTCGCCTGTGAGTGTTGAATTCAATGTGAACTTTTATATTTATATTTACATACGCTCTATCTCTGATATTGAGCACTTTATCCCGTAAATATAGCACACCTTAAAACTTTTATTTCTTAATATATATATATATATATACAAAGAATAATCACACATAGAATTAATCAGAAGTATTAATGCGATTATTGGCGACATCCATCGCTAGAAAACATAATATATGCATTAAAATCCTGTTCATCCAAGTGCAGTTTTGATCCTTGAAAAACTTGTTGTCTGTACAGATTTTTCAGTTTATTTGATGTTAAAATGCTAGTACTTAGGGACGGCCTTCCATCCATCATCAGGCATGTGTTGTTTATCTTATAAAATCAAAAACTTGAGACGATATATCTGTATGTCGACCGAAAGATGTTTTTGAATATCTGCTATTGTTGACAGGTGTGTAGAATTAATTAGCGTTGCGTCTTTGCGCGTTCGATCTTACACCGTCTTCCACCGTGATTATTCAAAAAATCATATGCTGCCTAATGTTTTTTATATATATATATATATATATATATATATATATATATATATATATATATATATATGTCAAAGTGGAAAAGTTGAGTTCGAATTGCAGTTAAGTTCATTACATTCACTTACGTGCTGATAACCTTTGGAAAGGTATGAATCATTCTCTTCTCTCCCACCTCTCAGATTGGTTCCTAGTCTGGAAACTGGTTACGAAGAATGGCAACTGCGAATTCAAAACGAGGGAAGAGGTTTAGGGACCTTGTGTCATGCTGTATACCGGTGCTCTTTCAAAAAGAGTGCTCGGCTCTGCACAAGCCTTCTCCATTATAATCAAATTATATGTGCGGGTTGTCTGGCAGTTAGGCCATAAGAATGGAGATTCTAGATTCTCAGACATCGAAAAACATATCAGCTAAACTCACTGAAATGTGAGCAAACGTAAAAATTCTTTTTTAAAGGCCATCCTAGTCAGGACGAGAACTTTTCAGCATTCCCTGTTCAAGAGGAATATAGTGAGAAGGCTAAATGGAACATCCTTTTTAAACGGATTTTCAAAAAAGAACAAAACTATTATATATTTTTGATTGTGATTTGTGCAATTTATCATCACCACTTGTGACCGATATTCTGTTTAATTAGTGTGTGTATGGGTTGGGGGGGATCTTCTATCCGTCCCGAAAGCCGATACTTACATCATTTACAAACAAGCACACGCACATATGTGAGAATTGTTTAAATATTTATTTTATATTAGGGAGGGAGAGTGCTCAATATTGTAAATAGAGCAGGTTTAGATATAAAGAGGGTGAGGATGATGCATAGGTAAAACACCTGACAACAGTCTGTCAATCACAATGCAATTGATTTTGCCATACTAGTTCTATTCCTATCTATCTATCTATCTATCTATCTATCTATCTATCTATCTGCTTCATCTTCTTTCTTTCTTTCTTTCTTTCTTTCTTTGTCTTTCCTGATGTTCTATTGTCTGTCTTTTCTTTCTTTCTTTCTTTCTTTCTTTCTTTTTTCTTTCTTTCTTTCTTTGTCTTACCTGATGTTCTATTGTCTGTCTTTTCTTTCTTTCTTTCTTTCTTTCTTTCTTTCTTTCTTTCTTTCTTTCTTTGTCTTTCCTGGTGTTCTTTTGTCTGTCTTTTCTTTCATTCTTTCTTTCTTTCTTTCTTTCTTTCTTTCATATACTATTGTCTCACATTTGTTTGTTTGTTTTTTTCTTCTTTGTTCATTTCTAATTGTACTGTCATCTCTCTTTTCTTTCTGTCAAGAAAGACAAAAAGAAAAGATATATATATATATATATTTATTTGTCTTTTTCCTGTTGTAATATTTTCTTTTCTTTCTTTCTTTCTTTCCTAAAATTTGTTTTCTTGAGACCTTTAAACGTCATACCCACCCTTCATCGGCTTGCATGACATTTGACCTCTTGAGTGCATTTCAAACGTCTTGATGTTAACCGTAGTCATTTATTGTTCGCACGTGATTGTCGACAAAGAAATGAAGTGAAATCATGTTTGCTGGTTCTATATCATTAGAAACTGCTGGCTAAACCAAAGTGAAAATCAATCCCTACGGGGGCAGAATGTTATATCCAGAGGGTAATTGGTGGGTCGGTTGCCAAACGCATTTGGGATGAGAGGCGACCGGATTGATTCCTGTATTGAAGTAATCAAAAAAATCACATCTGATAGGAAACCTGCTGTTCTTTTGCCTGGGAATTTAATCTGAGTTCAATTGTAGTGCTTCCGGCTATACGAGTAGGTTCATGCTAACAAGACACTTTGTTAATGTTGATGGCGACTGTGTGATTGGGAGAATATCTGTGTGATTGGGCGTACACGAATAAATATACTTTTCACTGAAGGTCGAAATAAAGGAGTTGAGAAATTTAGACGTTAGTTTAAAGTTTCAGCTACTGTTTAAGGCTTGCGGGCAGGTATTGCTCATCAGTGGTATGTTACTGGTAGAAAATGAGAACCACCTGGTCGATAAGAGCTAGCTAATGAAAAAGATCACACAAACAAAGCTGGTATGTTTTATTGGCACCCTGTTACACACGTATATATATATATATATATATATATATATATATATATATATATATATATATATATATATATATATATATATATATATATATATATATATATATATATATACTGCACACATTTTCTACTTTGATTATTCGGAAGTAACCTGAGTGATTGCTACCATCTAATACAGGGTTTCCACCTTGGGCAATATCTCCCACCAGCGGGTGACTTCATCTGTTGGGTGGGCGATAAGCAACTGGACAGAAAAACGATTGGAAATTTTACTGAGCGATATAAGATATTGAGTATTACAAAAGTATTTCAACAGATGCTACATGAAAAAACAAAAACAAACCTAATATGCCAAGAACCTGTATAAAAAAAAAACAAAAAAACTAGGAAAAACTGGTGGCTAAATTGAAATAAATGAGTCACATTACTAGATAAGATATAAATATCTCTCCAAACACAGAATATTTTGGTATTTTTATAGTTGTAAGAAGGGTCATTAACATTCCAATAGTTCATTCAGATGAAATCATATTTAAATCAAATCAGAGAAGGCAAGAACAAGAAAAAATACCCGCTGAATTTTTATTAGTTGCTAGTAGCGTATATTCTTTTTAATTTTATAATTATGAACAAAAATCGTTTAATTCTTTTGTCAACACTTCAGTTGCAACGCTAACCATAAACATAAAACTGACCTTGAACATAAAACTAAATTATATATATATATATATATATATATATATATATATATATATATATATATATATAAGCATTATATATATATATACAAGTGTGAACTGAGTTCTCTGAGCTGCTGACGTATTTCGTATAGAGAAAAACGTTAAAATTTCCTTCTCTTTCTGACTATGGTCTAGGGGTAAGAAATCTGACTGATGTCAAATTAGTCGCGTTTCGATCCCGGCTTGAAGCAATCGGACGTCTAGCCACACTGAGGAGCAATGATACAGCGTTTAGCCACATTGAAGAGCTGTGATACAGCGAAACAATTTGTCTGTGGATGAATATATATGCTCCCGGAAATCCGGTTGAGCTCTCTAGGGAAAGGGTTTTTTTTAAAAACAGCGGCTCCTACCGCTGTTAAGCATTACTCTTCAAGTATGAATTGAGTTCATTAAGATTACCTCCTCGCTTATCCATCGAAACCACAATCCACCGAAATAAGAAAAGAAGCCAGTCCCCACCGCGGGCCATTTAAAAGATATTTCGCGCACCGGATTGGTTGTTACAAACATCCAATCGGATGTGCGGAATATGTGGTCTTTCTTCCTCTTATTCTTTAAAAAGGCCAGAGTGGCTGTTAGCGTTTAGTTGGAAGGGGGAATCAGGGGTTGATCTCCCCTGATTGGGTCGATTTGGTGATGGGGAGTATGATGTTGAAAGACCCGAAACTCCCTGATGAACCAAATCAAAACATCACTGACGACCCCCTTGGGCGCCTACTTAAAAGCGTATTTGTGAATTATTTCTATTGCTGGTTTAGACTCTACCATTTGCTATTTACCTCATAATGTCCATCTTAAAAGTCGGTATTAATCATAAAGATTTAAATAAAAAATCCCGTATTAATTATATGTTTATAAAAATATTAAAGACAATCTGTGAAAGACGAGTTTATTGACCATTGGTGGAGAAATAAACAAAAAAGTTCTGCATCGGCTTATACTATGGATTCCAAATTATAGAGAAAGATCAAAAGCTCGACCAGCAAGAATTTTCATTGGTCAATTCATTGATGGCGCCGGAATCAGGATGAAAGAACTGAATAGAGCCAGTGTCGGATTATGGCTTTTGAGGCCATTTTGATCTCTCCGTAAGCTCGGCAAAAAATATTCCCTTTGACCCGTATAAACGGGGTTCAGGGCCTGTCTACCTCTCCGGACGAAACTTTGCATTTCGGCGTCCGACTTCCTCTCCGCCGAGGCGAAGAGATTGACAGTTGAACACTTTATATCACCGTTATATTTAACGCCCCTCCACGTGGGTCGTATGTGGCACAAGGCCGGTTTAGCATGGGTTCTCCGAGCCCGTAGGCTCGGCCAAAAATATTCCCTTTGAACCCGTATAAACAGGTTCAGGGCCTGTCTACCTCTCCAGACGAAACTTTGCATTTCGGTAAAGCCTCGTCTGGGTTCCTCTCTGCCGAGGCAGAGAGTTTGACAGCAAGGAACGGTTTATATTACCGTTTCTCCGAGGCTTACTTTTCCTACTAACTATATAATAAGTGGAAGACTCCACAATAAACTCATTAGAGGGAAGACACCACATCAATTACTAAAGAAGTGCGTATTATGCGTGAGTAGAAGCATTTTCCCACACTTTCAGTACAAGTTTAGGTGTGCGTGTTATGGATGAAGGCGTATTATACATGTGGAATTACAGTAAATGTTATATCTGCAATTGCATATGCAGTACTATGGCAAAACATTTTGTATAATCTAGAAGCCCAAAATTTAAAAAAGTCTCAAATACAACATTTATGGTCAGTAGGAGAAACAATCCTCTCAAATCTTAATACGGGTCATCTGACAGTAACGTAAATACTAGTACCTCCCCCCACCAAAAAAAAACATGAAAAAATCAAATGTGACATACACTCGATTATTGAGGACAGCCTCATAATGAAACTATATGGGAAGCTAGAAAGATTTGCGGGCCGAATCTGGGAAAGGCGAAGGTAGTTAAGTGGCCATTGCTGGAGAAATATAGCATTAGATTATGTTGTGGAATCTAAATTTTGGAAAAAGATCAGGAAGTAGACCAGCAAGAATCATCATTGTTCAATTCATTGATGGCACCGAAACTGGGAAGAGTAAGGAATGATGGGAATAGTTGGGAAAAAGTAAGCCAGAAATGTTTGTTTGAGGACGATCAGATAAACAGATCTTTTTCTATGTGCCACGTTCCTTCAGCAATCATTATTTTCCACAACCTCCTATTCCTCGTGGCACTTAGCAGTTTTTCTCTTTATGTCAAGCCTTTCGCTGTCCATTCACATAATCTGGGAAAGACGAATTTAATGACCATTGCTGGAGAAATAAAGCAAGAAATTCTGTAACAGCTTACACTTTTGGGGACTAAATTTTGGATAAGGATCAAAAGGAAGACAAATAAAAACCATCCTCAATCAACATTGATGACATTGGAATGAGAGCTAAAGAGGTTAGAAATGGTTGGAGATATGTTATCATAAGTATTTGCCTGATGATAGATAGATATGAATAGACTGAGATAGATAGATAGATAGATGTGAATAGACTGAGATATCTTATTTTATTCACATCTATCATCAGGCAAATACTTATGATAACCTTTCTCCAACCATTTCTATCCTCTCTAGCTCTATCCACTTCTTCCTTTCTGATAGATAGATATATGTGAATAGACTGAGATAGATAGATAGATAGATAGATAGATAGATAGATAGGTGTGAATAGACTGATATAGGTAGACAAACATGAAGTAAGAAATGAACAGAGATAGATAGATAGATAGATAGATAGATAGATAGATAGATAGATAGATGTGAATAAACAAGATTGATAGATATGAAGGAAGGAAGAACTAAAGACTGATTTAGATAGATAGGAAAGAAGAAAGGAATATATATATATATATATATATATATATATATATATATATATATATATATATATCAATTAAAAGGTGCAAATATAATTTATAAATTCATGAATCATTCATACAAAAAACAAATATAGAGGTTAAGGATTTAAATGGCGAGAATACATCGTCGCAAACTATATAAATAAGATACATCAACCCCGAACCTGTATATGAATGATTTCATATTCAATAACTGATCCAACGTGCAACTCTCGGATAATAAGTGTGACATTACTGTAATTATTGAACAATATAGTTCATGCCATATTCACAGAAAATCTACCAGTAAAAAAGAATTCTCTTATTGCTATATTTTTACAAAAACGCACAACCTTAAAATTTAAATTCAAAAATAACGTTCCAAAACAATAACACATTTCTCATAGCATTTTTTCGGATTACATCTCTATTTTCGTTGTCCTCTTATTACTGAGAAGTAAAAACAAGAACAAAATCTACTTCCATACCTGATGATGTCTGTAGGAACAGACGAAAGCTTGTAAAAATTAAAAAGACCTTATGCAACTGGAATTTATAAACGGGGATCATATCATTCATATACAGGTTCGGGGTTGGTGTATCTTATTTATATTGTTTGCGAAGATGTATTCTCGTCATTTTCATCATTAACCTTTATATTTGTTTTTTTGTATGAATGATTCATGAATTTTATATATATATATATATATATATATATATATATATATATATATATATATATATATATATAGTTATGAAAACTTGGTAATCCGTATGGTAACCCCAGGGAGGATGAAATCCTGAGAGCTCAATGTAAATCCAGAGCTAATATTTTAAAGAAAAACAGACCACTTTAAGGTTCCATTATAATAATTTATTTACTAGAGCCCTTTTAAAGGACGCCGGATCATCAGATAGCACTTCCAAAAAATGAAACGAAAAATGAAATGAAAATTAATGGGTAGTGTAAGTTTTTGTAATTTAACAGAGAGTGTAATAAGGAGTGGTTAGAGAGACATGGTAGAGTTTAGAGAGGGTTTAATTGAGTATCTCTCTCAATCATACTTAGTATTGGGGGAGGAGGATTGACCAGACCTTCACCTATTGAAACGGTTAACTTAACGGAAGTCATATATTGAAATGGGAGGGGAGAAGAGAGAAAAGAAAAAGGAAGGAAAAAGAAAGAAGAGGGAGAGGGAAGTAAAGAGAAAGAGGCTATAAATGGGTTTTACATATGGAGGATATGGGTGGTAAGTTTTTGCAACTCATGTAAAAAATAGATTTTAATGTTTGATAGTAATTTAGATGTCTAAAAAACCCGAAGAAATTAATTTGATGCTTGCTAGCAATTTAAATATATAAGTTTATTACAAATAATTTAGGGATTTAATATAAGTTAAATACTGTATTTATTAACACATTCATAGAGAACATATTAAAAAAAAAAGTTTTAAACTATAACAGTTTGTTTACCCGACCAATAGTACTCTTTTAATATTGTAAAAGACAGTTAAGGTAACATCTTTATCAGTTTGAATCTAATTGATGAATGTAATTTGTAATTATTTTTAGATGGGTAATCTTTCTTACTTAAAGTTTAGGTTTCGAATTAAGATGGAGTAATATTTGAAGGTAATATTAAAGATTTTGTTTTTTTCATATATATATACCACATATGCAAATCCTACATATACATACGTTTATTTACACACACACACACACACACATATATATATATATATATATGTCCGTCTGTTGGAAAAAGGTATGAATCCTCTTCTCCCTCCAGCTATGAGTAAATAGCAGGACAGATTGGGTTCTATAGCCTTGGATGGCGACTGGTCTAAGAGAAGGACAACTCTGAATCCAAAACCTGCGGAGGGTCATTTGGGGACCTTGTGGCACGTAGTGCACCAGGTCTCTGTATTCGGCTTCTACACAAAAACCGTCACCACCATAATCAAATCTCATGTGTTGGTGTCGGACTGTTGGTTCCTAGAAACTGAGCTGCTTGACCCTCATAAGTAGAATACGACGGGAGAGTCGAATATATATATATATATATATATATATATATATATATATATATATATATATGATGAGAGAGAGAGAGAGAGTAGATATAAAATCTCTGTATTAATTATAGGTTTCCACCAAGAACTCATTAATGTCCACTGTCTTATTTTACTTATATATTTCACAGTGTGCACCCTCACGGTGTAATGGTTAACATGCCAAGCCTCATAGATAATTAGATTTGAGTAATTTGTTGACTTGTGCCAGTCCTAACCCACGCTTCCTAAAGAGCAACTTTTACTCCTTCACTCCTGCAGCTACGTCAACCTTTTCGTTATTTAAGTAATAGAACCTCGCAAGAAAACCAAGAAAAAAGAAAAGATAAGAAAAGCAATATGAACAGGATAAGGCATTTGGAATTGTCCAACGGATTCCTGCTAAGGAACTGAAGATCCAAGAAACAAATTAACTTAGCATACCATGAGGAAAAAAGGCACTAAACTTAATAAAAAAAGTTTTATCTTCAAAATGTTTATAAAAGGGGAAGAAGGTATTTTTTATTATTTATAAATGTTTTTAATTCAACGAACATTTTCATGGAAACATACACGCTTAGGCTCAATAGTCGTTGGTACCATGCGCATTCTGGTTAATCCAGTGGGCTAATCCATAGTTGTTGAAATCTATTTGTTTCATAGATTATCCGCACTCCATGATTAACAATTTTTGTATAGCATCAGGTAGATAGATTTTACACTAAGATTTTTTGTTAGCCACGGTTTGAGAGACCAATCTACTCAGCAGTTTAACCCATATCAGATGGGAGTAGAGATGGATTCATACCTTTCCAAATTGGATTTTGTTTTTCGTTCCCCCCAACAATTTTTGAATATATCCGTCAAAATTGTCGATTTTTTAAGGCATAAAAGATGATGTCTGAATACTTTGTTCTTCATCGTCTGAAACAAGTGAACACAGAAGATATCAAAAAACTAAATCAAATGCTGGCATTTTCAGAAGACTTTAATTTGTTTTACTTGTGTGAAATCGTGTGAATTAAGAACGAACATTGACGAGATACACCATCACTGGAAGCACTAACTCTGCTTAGATCGGGATGGAACAGTCACCCAAAAACAAATAACTGAAACCGACAGGTCAAGAAAGAATACCAAGAATCTACACAACAGTCGTACACTGGGAACTTGGTATGGTTTTGACCGTGTAGCCAAATTGTATTGCAGACAAGAAAGAGTCCTAGAGAAAAAAAGTTTCATAGTTGTGAGAATCGGGAATCAAAAAACGACCTGGCAAATCGTGCATTTATCTGTATATGTGAATTACAGAGTTGATATGAAAGCGGATGAGAAAATATGGGAAATACAAGGACTCTACACGAAAGCTGAGAAAAAAAATTGAAGAATGAGAGTTGTACTTATAATAATAGACAAACTTGGAACCATACGCAAAATCTGAGCAAGGATTGAGATCGCAAAGAAACCGGTGTCAATGAGGTGTGAAATGATATCGAGGAAAGTGGTGGAAATCTGAAGCAGCATTTGATATTAAGGTACAAATACATGAGCTATAATAATAATAGTAATTATTATTATTATCATTATTATTATTATTATTATTAAGAGGAAGAAAGAGGAGGAGCAAAAGAAGAAGGAAGGGAAGAATGGTGAGAATGAGAATGAAATGAAGAATGGAGCAGGAGTAGAAGAAGGAAAGAAAAATGAGGAAGAGTAGAAAAAGGAAAGGAAGAATGGGGAGAAGAATAAGTAAGAGAAGAATGAGGAGGAGTAGAGTAAGGAAGGGAAGAATGAGGAGGAGAAGACGAAGGAAGGGAAGAATGGGGATCCGAAGAAGAAGAAGAAGAAGAAGGAAGGGAAGAATGAGAAAGAGAAGAAGAAGGAAGGGAAGAAGAAGAAGAAGAAGGAAGTAAAGAATTAGAAGAAGAAGAAGAAGAAGGAGGAGGAAAGGAAGAATGAGAAATAGTAGAATGAAGAAAGTAATGAGAGAAGTAAGGAGAGAAATAATAAGATGAAGGAAGGGAAGAAGGAGAAGAAGAAGAAAGAAGGGAAGAATGAGAAAGAGAAACTGAAGGAAGGGAACAATGAGAAGGTGAAGATGAAAGAAGAAAAGAATGAGGAGAAAAAGAAGGAAGAAAATAATGAAGAGGAGTAGAAAAATGAAGCGAAGAAGAAGGAGGAGAAAAAGAAGGAAGGGAAGAATGAGGAGGAGTAGAAAAATGAAGCGAAGAAGGAGGAGGAGAAAAAGAAGGAAGGGAAGAATGAGGAGGAGTAGAAAAATGAAGCGAAGAAGGAGGAGGAGAAAAAGAAGGAAGGGAAGAGTGAGGAGGAGTAGAAAAATGAAGCGAAGAATGAGGAGGAGAAAAAGAAGGAAGGGAAGAGTGAGGAGGAGTAGAAAAATGAAGCGAAGAAGAAGGAGGGGGAAAAGAAGGAAGAAAAGAATGAGGAGGAGTAGAAAAATGGAGTGAAGAATGAGGAGAAGAAAAAGAAGGAAGAAAAGAATGAGGAGGAGTAGAAAAATGAAGCGAAGAATGAGGAGAAGTAAAGGAAGAATGAGGAGAAAAAAAGCGAAAAAAGGAGGAGGAGAAAAGGGAAGGGAATGAGGAGGAGTAGAAAAATGAAGGAAGAAGGAGGGGGGAAAGGAAGGAAGAAAAGAATGAGAAGGAGAAAATGGAGGAAGAATGAGGAGAAGAAAAGAAGGAAGAAAAAAAAAAAAGCGAAGAAGGAATGAAGGAAGAATAAGAAAAAAAGGAAGGAAGTTATTAGAGAGAAAAAAAAAAAGGAGGGGAGGTTATTCGAAAAAGGAAGAAGGAATGAGAATAAGAAGGAAAGAGAAATAAAAAAAATTTATTTGAAAAGAATTTAATTGAAAGAATAATTAAATGTGCAAAATTAGAAGAAGAAGAAGAAGAATGAATGAATAAATAGAAGAAAAAAGGAAGAGGATTAAGAAAAGAAGTGGAAGAAGAAAGATTTGCGGGTGAAGAAAAGAAGAAGAAGAAGAAGATTGGAGGAAGATTAAGGAGAAGAAAGGAGTTGAAAGAAAAATAGTAGGAGGAGGTGGAAGAAGAAGGAAGAAGAAGAAAAAAGGAGGAGGATTATTAAGAAGAAGAAAAAATGAGGATTAAGAAGAAGAAAAAAGGAGGAGGGGAGAAGAAGAAGAAGAAAAGAGAAGAAGAAGAAAAAGAAGAAACGAGGTGGGTTAAGAAGAAATAGAAGAAGAAAGAAGGATGATTAAGAAGATGATGATGAAGCAGAAGAAGGCGAAGAAGTAGGATGATTAAGTAGAAGAAGAAAAAAGAGAAGAAGAAAAAGAAAAAGAAGAAGAGCCCAAATGAAATATGGTGGTAAAAGAAGGATACGCGATTTAGACCTAAAACCTTCGAATTCTTGCTTAAGTGGCTGATGCCAAGACGAGAAACAAAACCTCTTCTCTCATCTTTAAACACTAATTCCTAACGACATGAATCGAATTTGTAGAGATTTCTTGGACACCTCGACAATTTACTGATACCTTCTTCTAAGTGCAGATATGTAAACAAAAGGTGAACGTAATGACGTCATCGTGTAATTCAGATGTTTACAACTTTGTTCTATTTGAGATTGGAAATCTATTAAACGATGCCTTATGGCGAACGCACATCAACATCGATCAAGGCCTCAATATGTTTGGTCGGAGGGAAGTTCAGCTAACTAATTTGACTAACGAGGGTCAGATGGCCCCAGGGAGAGAAACAAAGCAGACAAAATATCCGTGTCAGTCAGTAAGTAAGATCCTGTGTTTAATATTTGGTTTAATTAAACAAGATTTCGATCTTTTATTAGGGCGAGTCTGTGCTCACAGTAAAATCTCGCAGTAAACTCAAACTGGATTACTCCCAATCATAGCCTTCTTTCAGACTAAGCTGCTTCTTCTTCTTCTTCTTCTTCTTCTTCTTCTTCTTCTTCTATGTGACGTGTGGCTTCAGTTCGTTGGCGATCATGGCTCTCCACAATTTTCGGTCCGTTGTACCTCTTAATTAATTATTTTTTAACTTCCCTAAATCCTGTTCTCCCAAGCACGCTAGGTAGCTTATACAATATTTTCCTCTGTCTCTTTTGCCTACAGTCTGACATGTCAGTATTAAATTTTCCTCTGTCTCTCTTGCCTACAGTCTGACATGTCAGTATTAAATTTTCCTCTGTCTCTCTTGCCTACAGTCTGACATGTCAGTATTAAATTTTCCTCTGTCTCTCTTGCCTACAGTCTGACATGTCAGTATTAAATTTTCCTCTGTCTCTCTTGCCTACAGTCTGACATGTCATTAAATTTTCCTCTGTCTCTCTTGCCTACAGTCTGACATGTCAGTATTAAATTTTCCTCTGTCTCTCTTGCCTACAGTCTGACATGTCAGTATTAAATTTTCCTCTGTCTCTCTTGCCTACAGTCTGACATGTCAGTATTAAATTTTCCTCTGTCTCTCTTGCCTACAGTCTGACATGTCAGTATTAAATTTTCCTCTGTCTCTCTTGCCTACAGTCTGACATGTCAGTATTAAATTTTCCTCTGTCTCTCTTGCCTACAGTCTGACATGTCAGTATTAAATTTTCCTCTGTCTCTCTTGCCTACAGTCTGACATGTCAGTATTAAATTTTCCTCTGTCTCTCTTGCCTACAGTCTGACATGTCAGTATTAAATTTTCCTCTGTCTCTCTTGCCTACAGTCTGACATGTCAGTATTAAATTTTCCTCTGTCTCTCTTGCCTACAGTCTGACATGTCAGTATTAAATTTTCCTCTGTCTCTCTTGCCTACAGTCTGACATGTCAGTATTAAATTTTCCTCTGTCTCTCTTGCCTACAGTCTGACATGTCAGTATTAAATTTTCCAAGCACTGTAATTATGTTCATCGTTGTGAAGTAACATTTTTTTTGAATCGGTGTTTTTTTTTTTTTCCACAGTAAATCTGTTTCTGGGGTCTGTCTCCTTCAAGGCTGAACTTTACGCATTTTTTTGTTTTTGTTTTAAGTATTTCACCCTAAGCAAGGCGGGAGTGCCACTAGCGCACAAGAGGTTACAGAAAGTAAAGAGGGGGATGTTTGAGGAAAGGATATAGAGAAAGACGGGGATCAGGATCAAGGCATCAGAAGATGTCGACTGACATTACATTTGAATATTTGAAGATTATAGCTCTCACCGAAGCAAGTAAGAGGAAGGGAGTATCACTGTCGGGAAGTGCGAGAGAAGAAGCTGTTGGAGTAAAAGAGGCGGTTATATTTAATTGTTTCTACAGTGAAATGGTGTGACCGAGATGCCATCCTAGTAGCACGCTTAAATTCATGCAGTTGGGGCAGCAGTGAAAATAGCCCGTCACAGCAGTTGCCATGAAAATATTTATAGAAAAGACGGAGGGGAGCCACTTAAAAAGTAAGAGGGAAGAACTTTATGTCTGAATTGTTGAAGAAGGGAAGTGCCGAGGGACTGGACAGTTTTCATTACAACATGCAGGGTTCTTTGTTAATTTTGTAGAAAAACCTATCATCGTGGGTTGGTGTATATCCTTGTTGTGGAGTAGTTGTAAAGAGGTGAGTCTTTCCGACCGTTACTACTCAGTATTTACCCGAGGTCCCCACAGAGCTCGATGTGGCATAAGGACGATTTAACATAGGTTTTTCCGAGCCCGTAGTCCCGGGCAAAAATTCCCCACAGACCCCGTAATAACAATGTCGGGTTTGCCTACCTTCCCAGACGAGACTTTGCCCTTCGGCATAGCCTCGTTTGTGTTCCTCTCTACCCAAAGGCAGAGAGTTCAACAAGCACTAAGAGCTTAGCGCGCGGCTAAGACCTAATGCTAACTCTCAAACGTTACTACTCAATAATGTTCAATTATTACTAAGAGAGGCGGCGCATCGGTGCGTAATGGTCAGCGAGATGTGTTTATATAAGAGTGTTGGTTTTTGATATGATCACTTTGAGAATGCTTTTTCGAAACTTACGGTAAAATAAACATTTTAATGTTTTTTCTTTTTTTTTTCAGTTTACTTTTAGAGTCGTCTACTGGGTTGGATTGTTCTAGTTCAACGTGCCACGAATGTTTCAGTTATTTTCCTTTAACTCAACTCTTCAGTCGGATCCATTACATTCACTTACGTGCTAATACCCTTGGGAAAGATATGTATCCTCTTTTTTTCACACCCCCAGCTATGGGTAAATAGCAGGACAGACTGGGTTTTATAGCTTTGGATGGCAACTGGAAAACCTTGAATTCAAAACTGTCCTGGAGAGCGTTGGGCTCCGTCAGTCTATCTTAGCCAAGAAACAACCCTTCTACTCTGGATGCAGTACACATGGTAACCCCTACGTCCCTACGGGTCACGGTATAAAGAAAAAAAGAAAAAGAAGAAAAAATTTTCGAGATGGTAAATTTTGTATCGATTTTACTCGGTTAACTCTTTAAGTTTATCCCATACCCTATCATCTGCTGTATGTTGTATGGATTCAAAAAAATCGTTTCAGCAACAAGAAATTATCCGACTATATATGGGCCCAGATATGTCAACGATAATTTGACCAATTTTAATAGGGGATTTCTTTCTCTTGAAAATGTCCGGTTATCTGGACGATCAAGTTGTCAATATTGCACTTCTAAAAGCTGTAGTTGAGAAATAATCAAACTGCACGGGAATTAGCAAAACGGTTCAATACAAATCACACTTCGATCATAAAACACTTTCATGAGCTCGTAAAAGTGTCTACATCTTGTGAATGCGTTCTTTATCATCTGATTTCCAATCAGGTTAATCAAAAGGTTGTCGTCTGCACTGAAATGCAGACTTTCTATGCAACCTTTCCTGAAGAGTATCATCACCAGTGATAAAAAGTGAATTCTCTATAATCATATCCAACAAAAACGTTTACCCACCACTGAAAAAAAAAAAGAGAATACATCCCTAATTCAGGACTTCACCCGACAAAAACGCTATACCCTGTGTTTGACATCAAGGTTGTCGACTATGATGAAGTGACAAACTAAAATGGAACAGGTTATGCGGAGTATTGTCAATTGAAAGCATTGTATAAAATGTTGAGGAAAAGCGTCATTGATTAATCGTAAAGGCGTGATACACCTACACGATTACATATTTATCAAGTCATCCAAGAAAAAAATTATAGCACTAAATATGAAAGTTCCGCCTCATCCTTCTGATCTTGCTTAATCTGACTATCATCATTGCAACATTTTTAGACGGAAAACAATTTATTATTTGTAAAGAGGTTATAACTAATACTGAATATGAGGCAATAAGGGATATAGCAGTTCAAAATGCCGGGAAGGAGTGTGTTATCGGGTGATAGGCGAACCTATGTACTCTCAATTATATCCAATAAAAACAACAATGGTTACTCACCACTGAAAAAGGAGAATCAATTCCCAATCCAGGACTTCACCAGACAAAAAACGTTATACTCATTGTCTTTGATATCAAGGTTGTCTAAACTAAAACGAAACAGTTAATGTTTCCATCAGGCTATCTTGCCCTAGACGCATACCATTTGTTATGACAGTGTACATGTAATAACCCTACGACTATAAAATTTTTCGGGACTCCTGATATGATGTGACGTTAGATCTAACCCTTATTAGATACGTGGTCAACCATTAGACCAAGGTTCGAATCACACCATGTTCGATTTTTTAGGAAAGTAACTTGATATTATCTGTCTAGAGGAGGCGACCCCCAGACTACGAAACCTTTGGAAAGTGCCTGTAAGGTTTGAACTTGTTAATTAGTTTGTGTAGACGGAATTATCTGGGAGTCGTCGGTGGTTGTGCTAGCACAAAGTTACAAGTCATCGTGGCCGAGGGTTTGAACGTACTAGCCTTGTTCAGACTGCTGATCACACTAGATAATGCGCTCTCTCCCAGAAACTGTAACTAAGGTCCGCTCAGCAGTTGCAGTATGAACCACAGGTGGGCTCTATGGGTGTTGAACAAAGCCGAATGTGGTTGAGCAGGCGTCAGTATTAGGTACTGGCTAGTCTCCCTAGTAGACAAGCCTACTCGTATACGCACGACAATGCTAAATTAATTTAAATAATGGATCTGTAGCGATGGAAACAGCACGAAATATTCGTTCACTTTATGGAAATGAAGCTTTAAGTATCCAAACATGCCAACGAAGACTTGGCCAAATTTGATCGAGAATTTTTTTCTCTCGAAGATTAACCTCGATCTGGTTGATAATATTCTATCAATGTTGAGCTTGTACCGACCATCTTAAGTATGCTTCATGAGAATTACCAATTTAGAGATTCTTGATAAAATCCAAAGAAGACTCTGCAATGTCACCCAGGCTTCTGTCATTTTCCCACCACTGTAACGTAGCTTTCCTCTACTTTTTCTATAAATATTTTCATGGTAATTTTTCTGCTTGACTTGCTTCTATGGTATCTAGAGTTTATGAATTTAAGATTAGTGGCAAGGTCTCATCAATTTACAGTTGAAATAGTTAGATGTAACCGTAAATTCTTGTCCCTTAGCGGCTTTATTGCCTTGCTTAGAGTGAAATCATTAAAAAAAGATAC